TGTTGTAGATACTTGTTTACTTCCAGAAAAACTCTAAAAATTAGCTTCTACAGACATCATGCAATGTTCATTTTGACATTTCTACCTACATTTTGTATTATACACACTACAAACATTGATGGGGAGTCATTTCACCTTGATCCAACAAATATATTGAGTGAAAAATACATAAAATGAAAAACAAGTTTAAATTTACCTTTTAGAGGAGGATATAAACTTTCTGGCCCAGAAACTTTATGAAGCTCATAACAATAGCAGGGAGACCCAGTGTTCAAAATATCTCTTCCTCAAGTTGTAAATTTCTTCCAGTAGATTGCAGTCATTCAGAATTTCCCATCCCATTTTTGGCACTTGTCACAGTCAACTCCCTCCCTTATCCTGAGTTTTCAATTGTTCATCCCCAGACTTGGTATGTACAATCTACACTATGTTAGCTATGTTTCATACACCAGAGCATAGTTCTCAAAATGTTTGGTTCTTGTGTTATAGTGCCAACTTTGTAAAAAAAACCATGTGACATTCTTTATTGTGAGTTAGTGTAGAACAGTGGCTTCTGAGATGAGTAGAAGGTGACTGAGGTCAGAGATGGCATAGTTGGCTCTCTTACGAAAAGACAGGAAAGCCTGTATTGATGTGAAAGACAACATTTGGTATGGTACCAAAACTGTTTATGCAGCAATGGTGTCCAACATTTTATGGTTTCTTTGTAATCTTTTCTAGTCTATAAGTAAATTTTGTAGTCTATGTCTGACTTTGTATAGTTTTTTGTAGTCTGTTTGTATCAATGTCCCTTTCAGGCTATGCTCTTTCCTTTTTTGCCACAATGTGATATTTGTAGCCCCTTCTTTTACCTTTCTGAATGTGTTGAAATCATATTGTTCAGTGTTGTTTTCATGGAGAAAAATGCAAAAAAGCTGGCAGTAAGAAAAATGTTATGCCTCATATCTCCACAACAGGAGCACTTTGTGACATAATTCAAAGAGATTCTGAAAGCTACAATACAGGACTGCAGGTTTGGTTTTTTAACTATTTTGGGAAATTGGTCATGTAACCACTCCCATTGGATGGACCCTGACATTGGTTTCTTCCACTGTTTGGTCATCCCCAATGATATTAATTTTTTTGGATATATTCAGTAGACCCTGAAGTGGACCCTGAAAGCAGTACGTAACATTATACACCATATTTGGAAATGCACCCTGGACCCTGAGGCAATATTTAGCAGGCAGGCAATGAAATATAGGCTGGGGCCAATGAAATAGATAAAAACATAAATCCGGCAGGCAATAAAATATGGGTGTGGGACAATCTCATAGATAAAAATAGAGCTGGATAAATAAATAAATTTAGCCTGGGAGGCAAAGAAATAAGGGAAGCAAAGAAATGGATGCATGGGAGGAAAGAAATATCTAAAACATTGGCCTAGAAAAGCAAAGAAATAGGTGGATGGGAGGAGAGAGATGGATAAAACATTGGCCTAGGCAAGAAAGAAAATATATGGCTGGGAGGGAAAGAAATAGCTAAACCACCAGCCTAGGGAAGCAAAGAAATAGGTGGATGGGAGAAAAGACATATCTAAAACATTGGCCCAGAGAAGCAAAGAAATGGATGCCTGGGAGGAAAGAAATATCTGAAACATCGGCCTAGAAGCAAAGAAATAGGTGCATGGGAGGAAAGAAATAGATAAAATATAGGCTCAGATAGACAGAGGTCTTTATGCTGCCACTGCTTTTCTGAGGAGGATTTTCTGATGCTTTTCCAGGCATTTTTGGTCAGACCTTTCAGTCCAACAGACTTTTCCAGTGGACTACCAATGGACTAACAGCAAACCAATTAGCTATAGTCCACTGGAAATGACCAAGACCGATGGAATTCCAACGGACACAGCCAATGGAAGTCCAACGGAATTCCGATGGATGTGGCCAACGAAAGTCCAACAGATGTCCAAGAGATTGCAAGCAAGCAGAGCTTGTTACTAGTATTATTAATGAAAAAGAAACTAAATAGTAGTCATTTAGACAAGTGCATAGTAGAGTATACATGCCGTGATTAGTAGTCATAAAGATTGTAGTGCTGCACAGTCCTGATCATGGGGTTTTTTCATTTTGTTCAGCTTGCCAGGTGAGCATTCCCAAATAGTCACATGGCTCCCTGTTTGATGAGTCTGTCACTGACACAATTTCTTCCCACCCTTCCTCTTCTCCCCCCATCACCACCCTCTGTGGCTCACCCTCTCGACATCGCCTAGCGTGTCGTTCGGTATCGAACAATGTCCGTGGGTCCCACAGGTAAGTCACCTCCCCTCATTTCTGTCTCACTGCCCACTAACAATGCCAAGAGCAGGTTTGAAACCTGGTGGACCACGGTGCATGTCTCCACCTTGTTTTTGGCAGTTACTGACCATCCAGCAGCACGACAACCCATCACCAGTTCACGTACAACACCCACACACCCCGTTCCCCACCCTCTACACCAACGGCACCCAACACCCATCTGCACACGGCACCCATGCACCCTCCCACTCCCATTTCCCTTTTCACCAACGACGGGGAACACCCATCTGTGTATGGCACCCACACACCCTTCCACTCCCATTTCTGCCTTTTTCAGCAACGGCGCCCAGTGCCTGTTGTTTTGCACCTCAGAAACTTTCCAACCCCACTCATTTTGCAACAACCACACACCTGCAGACCCTACACACCCATGTACTGCACCCACACCCTCTTCCACTCCCCTTTCCCATCCTTTTCACCAACGGTGCCCACCGCCTGTCGTTTCATGCCCAACCAGCACCTCAAACTCACTTACCTTGCAAACAGCGCCTACAGTGCTGTTTGCCTTTCTGCCCAAACATCCCCCAGCAAGACTCAATGCATCCGCATGCCCTGCCACATACCCTTCCCCTCCCCTTTCCCATCCTTTTCACCAACGGCACCCACCACCTGTCGTTTCGTGCCCAACCAACACCTCAAACCCACTCATTCTGCTAACAGCGCCCACAGCACCATTCGCCTTTCTGCCCAAACATCCCTCAGCAAGACTCAACACATCGCATCCATGTGCTCTGCCACATACTCTTCCACTCCCCTTTCGTGTCCTTTCCACCAACAGCACCCAGCACCCATCATTTCATGCTCAACAAACTCCCCAAACCCACTCATTTCGCAAACCTCAAGTCCAGAGACAACCACAATGGATGACAGCCACAATGGTGAGACAGGTGAAATGTATTCATTGGTAAAAAATCCAATTTTCGGGATTTTACCATTAAACAGTCTTCTCTGTAAGTACACTACATACAGTTGTAATGATATAAAGAGTCTTTGAACATACCTGGTTCAGTAGACTAAAAGTGCATATGCATCGAGTCTGAACTTAGGACCAAGGCTTTGGAGCTGGCAGCTAGTGTTTAAAGGTTCAGTCCATAGGACCGCAAAACACCGGTGGACCAAACTGCACACACCTGGGAATGACATTATGTAATACATCCTAGAGACCCCCTGATAACTAAGAGAACCATTTGAGGCTCTTTGGAGTGCCATATGATAAAGAAATGAGGTCTTGGCCTTTTAATTAAGAACATCAGCAACAATCTGGTGTATTGAGGCATCTTACCAGAATATCAGCCAATTCTAGCCAATTCTTGAATACCCTGCATACATTTCACAGAAGCCATCTGCTGAGTGAATATCAAGAAGGGCACACTGTGTAGTGATGGCAGCACCCAATGTGGAAGTGCCAAATGACGTATTCATGACCAAGAAGTCTTTTCTTTTATTTTTAGGGACATCAAGAGTATTTTCACAGTTCATTCCAACGTACACACAAGCACGTTGATGAGAAAACTTCACGTTGAAGGAGCTTGGTCCGGGCTTTCGTTTTCGTACGCTTTTTCTTTTTGTGTTTTCTTTTTGTTAAATGTTCTTTACTTACGACAAATCCTTGTGAGCTACCAAGGCCTTACTTGAAGACTGGATGCAATACTTTACCATCCCCCACGTAATCCACATGGACTCCACTGGATTCCACTGGATTCCACTGGACTGGACTGGACTGGACTGCCAATCACAAAACTGGACTCCACTGGACTCCCAGCACAAAACTGGACTCCACTGGACTGCAAGCACAAAACTGGACTGGACTGGACTGGACTGGACTGCAAATCACAAAACTGGACTCCACTGGACTCCACTGGACTGCAAGCACAAAACTGGACTGGACTGGACTGGACTGGACTGCAAATCACAAAACTGGACTCCACTGGACTCTCCCAACACAAAACTGGACTGGACTGGACTGCCACAGACCTAAGTTAATCCAGAATTCCTGAACTTAGACTTCAAAACAAAAAATAAAATTGAAGTATATTTTTATTAATTAAATTAATTAAATTTACATAGATTCTATGTTACAGAGGGGGGAGGGAGGGGGAAGGGAAAGGGAAAGGGAGGGGAAAGGGAAAGGGAAAGGGAGGGGAAAGAGAGGAATGAATAGGAGGGGGAAGAGAGGAATGAATAGGAGGGGGAGGGAGCAGGAAGGAAAGGGAGGGGTGGGAGAGAGGAGCAAGGAAAGGGGGAGGGGGGAAAGGGGGAGAGAGTGAAGGGGGGAGGGAGTGGAGGGGCCTCGTCGCCGTTCAGCGCTGGCGGGCGCTCGTCGTTTTTCGGGTGTGGTGGGGGCGGCGTTTCGTCGGTGCTCGTTCGTCGTCGTCGTTGCGTGTCGTTGTCCCGGCGTGTAGTCGTCGTCGTTGCGTGTCGTCGTCGTTGCGTGTCGTTGTCCCAGCATGTAGTCGTCGTCGTCGTCGTGTGTCGTCGTCGTTGCGTGTCGTCGTCATCGTGGTCGCGTGTCGTGCTCGTGGTCGTGGTCGTGTGTCGTCGTCCCGGCGTGTAGTCGTCGTCGTCGTCGTGTGTTGTCGTCCTCGCACATCGTCGTCGTCCTCGCATATCGTCGTCCTGGCGTGTCGTCGTCCTGGCGTGTCGTCGTCCTGGCGTGTCGTCGTCGTCATGTGTTGTTGTCTTCGTGTCGTCGTTCTTGTGTGTCGTTGGCCTCCTCGTGTGTTGTTTTTGTCGTTGTGTGCCGCTGGCGCCTGTCGTGGTGAGTACGGGGCATTGGGGTGGTGGGGCAGACATACCCTTGGCCCATGACGTTGACACGTCATGGGCGCCGTCCCTCGTTCTTGGCCTGTCCTTCCACGTTGGCGTGGGCATGGGCGTGGGCGGCGTTGGCATGGGCGGCGTTGATGTGGGCGGCGTTGATGTGGGCGGCGTTGACGTGGGCGGCGTTGGCGTGGGCAGTGATAGAGGTGGTGGTGGTGGAAGGGAATGGGATGGTCACGGAGGTGTGACCATGCCGCAAACAGGAGACGTGACGATATGGCACGCCCTCAAGTAAGTCACGTGACCTCACCCCGCAGACTGAACAAAATCATAAATCCTTATTGCAGCTATCACTGACCCACACTACATGTAAATTATAACCTTTCCTTTCATTGATCATTAAAATGTAATATACTCTATTTTCGCTTTTTTAGGAGTATTCATATATAATAATAATAATATACTGGAATGACTGGAATCCACTGGACTCCACTGGACTCCACTGGACTCTGACTGGACTCATAGTCCACTGGACTGGGACTGGACTCAGGAAAGTGGCTGGCAGTCCAGTGGGAGTCCAGTGGACTGGACTGGACTGGACTCCAGTGGACTGGGCATTCTGCCAGCCAATCTGGCCTGGTAAGAGGGCCACTGGAATCCACTGGACTCCAGTGGAGTCCAGTGGAGTCCATATGGATTACGTGGGGGATGGTAAAGACCTCCCTGGATGGTAGGGTTGAGAAACCAACAGCTGGGATGCTCGCGTTGAGGGCGGCAACGCGCACGTAAATAAGCATCTCCCAGCGTTGAGCAACTCCCTGAGCAATCCCCAGTCCAAGGGTTCCGCCGAGGCATCTGACAGGAAGCGTCAGCGTTGTTTTCTTTTATTTGTTTTCTTTTTCGACACTTCTTTGTCTTCTTTTCTTATTTTAGATTTATTGGGGACAGGCAGCACGCGAGAATGTGCAGAATGCCTTGTGATTTCTGAATTTGTACTTAAAGGTGTCCTCCCACCTCACGAATGGAGCACTTTCTTTTTCCCCTCTCTCCCAACTCTTTCAACCGTCTTCTAAGTCGTCGCGCACCACGGCGCGGCATTCCTCAAGTTGAGACACATTAAGCACGTCGAAGATCTCACGCCACTCCCTCTAAGCGCGTTGGAAAGCTCACGCCACGCCTTTAAGCTTTTACAGTTTTGATATACGCTAAGTACTCTTTTCGGTCTCTCCTTTGTCTCTTATCTCTCCCCCAAAGTAGTCGACTGGTTCTTTGTCCCCAGTACTGAACGTTTGTTCTTCCACAGTGGTGACCGAGACAGGGGACTGGTATCCCGCACTACTACTGCTTGGGCATCATATACTCCTTTGGTGCGTAGCCCTGCAACGTTCTTGTGCTGAAAACTTGGTTTTTAGGCGCATACATTCAATAATTAATCTCCTGATTCGCACACCTCCGTTTCGATCGCTCCATATTCGAACTCCTGAATTCACTTCCGTCTCGACGACTAGTCTCCGAAGCTCTTGAACTGGAAATTCAGTCGCATATACACTAAGTTTCCTTTTAGAAGTCTGCTCTTCATTTTTAAATTTTCTCCCTACGACCTTTCATTATGGCTCCTGATCCCATTCTTCCCCTCGCTTCTGTTGATTCTATTAATTCGTCTTCTTCTGATACGAGCCTCAACGCGACTTTAGGCGTTCCCATGCCTACACCAGGAACACCTGGTGCTCCCAAATTCAGAGGGAAACATGTTTCTGATTTTTTAGATGCGCTCGAGCAACATGCCGATAGCGCTAGAGTTTCTCATTCCCTCCTTCCTGGTTACGTTCTCAGATATTGTCACTCAAAAGTTCGTTTGGTTATAGGAGCTTCTTCGCTTTTGTCTGAAGACGACTGGGTTAGGACAAGAGTGTACCTGACTGACCTTTACGGGTTGAATGACTCTGTCCCTCCTAACTCTCCTGATCGTTTGCGCCATTGGTGTACAAAACATGGAGAATCGGGAAGTATTACTTCTCGAAAGGACGTGGATAAGTATTACCGGGATTTTACGGCCTTATCTTCAGAATTGACACCTCTTAAGATGCTCGCTAATGATGTGAATCTTTGTTTTTATAGAGGAATACCGACATCTTTACGCACACGTATAAAGAAACACATTCCAGCTGCCAACCTCAAAACATCTTCGCCTCCCACGACTGAAATGCTACTTGGACTTTTACGAGCGGAATTTGATGAAGAAGACTTGGATGCGAAAACCATTTATGTTGGCGTGGACCTGGATTCGGATTCCGACTTGAGTTCTAGCGATTCGGACGAGGACATCGACAAGGTAGTTCTAACGAAGAAGAAGAAGAAGAAGCCATCGAAAAAGGTAACATTCGAGAAGACGGTCCCAGCTGCACCTATAGTCGAGCCAGTCAATCTCAGCTCGGTGGATCAGCTTGCGAAACAAATGGAAGAATTGAGACTTGCTCACGCTGAGATTTTGCACTCTGTCAACAAAACTTTTAACACTAACCAAAACTCTACGCAGACTAGCAGGGAAGCAAGATGTTTCTTCTGCGACTCAACAGGCCACTGACTTGGGCTTCAGTATTGTCCGGAGGTCAAGGTGTGTATCAATGAAGGACTCGTAGCTTACACCCCTGTTGGCAGATTAGCACGCGCAGACGGATCTGAACTCCCTCGGGCCTTCAGAAGCGATGGGGGAGTCGCCAAGGTCTTGCGAGAACAGCACGCCGCTTCGAGCCATTTAAAAGGTAAGGCCCGGGAGGTTTCAAGAGACCTACCTCCCCATATGGCCAATTACGTGGGTCTGCTATTTGACGGTGAAGAAGTTCTTTCTTCGGATGTGTACAATGCGTTGCCCTCCTCGGTTGTACCCGAATGGCGTGCGCCTCCTTCTTCAGCTCTAGCCGTGACTCGATCCCAAAAGGACAAGGAAGCGCGTTTCGATCCAATCAAACGTCCGGAGAGACGAGAACCCGAAGCTAAGTCCATCCCCAAGCCTAGAGATAATCAAACTAAGCCGCCCATTCCTACGCTCAATAACCTAAGGCCTGCAATAGCGCCAGTTCAATCCACGCCCCAAGCCTTCAATTTAAGACCTCCCGTGGCCAATACCGAAGACGCGTTCAAAAATCGTTGTGCGACGATTGCAAAGACCAAGGACGTTGAAATGAAGGATGCAAATACCAAAGCTAAGTCAAGTCCAGCCTATCATTTTACGTCAGACATTCAAGAAATGTATGATTTGGATAGGATTGTCCACGAGAAGGTCAACAAGACGATAGTCCAGCTGGAACTAGGCGAACTCCTTGCAATTTCCGCTTTCCTGCAGAAGTCCGTCAGCAACATGACAAAGACGCGCCGAGAATACACTTCAAAACCTGTAGTGGCGAACATTGTAGAAGTACTTGAAGAAGCCGAATGGGCCGAGGAAGAACTTTCTTCTACAAATTTGGCTGGTGGTTATGAATCTGATGATGAGGATTTTTACTGTTCTCTTCCTGCAGCCGAATAATTTGCTAATTCAACTTTTGTCGAGTCGCGTGTAGGTCTGGAGTTCAATGAGTCTTCCGAATCAAAAGAAGAAATCATGATACGCTACACTTCCGCGGTCAAGATTCACCCTACTCCACAGCCACTTTTCGCGATGGTTACCGGACGTTTCAAGGGTAAATTCGCAGGAAAGGACGTGATCTTTATGATTGACACAGGATCCGAGTTGAATTTGATGGCTAAAGAATTTTACGATAGGACGGGTCTTGCAATCGACCTGGACGGCACGCGTTGGTCACTGAAAGGGATTAACGGGCGACCTGTTCCTCTCGGTGGTTGCGTCCGCGACGCTGAAATCATGATTTCTGGAAAGCGATTTGACCATCACATTTTCGTTAGGCGAGAGGGCACCGGCAAGCAAGAAATAATACTAGGACAACCATGGCTTCAATGGTACTCGGCCTCAATTCAATACACGCGTCAAGGTTCCATGAACATGTGGATCTGGCAAGACGGCGACGGGGACAAGTTCGGCTGCTCCCATCATCAAAGTTCATCAGTCTTAATTCCTCTTTGCACGCCAAATGCCCCTCGCAACATGTCTACCCTCAATATGAATATGCCCAGGATCGAGGAGGTGGAAGATGTTGATGCGGGAAAATGAAGGCGGACGCATATCCCGAGCCTGGTCTTGACCAGGACACGTCCATTCCGACTCTTGGGCGCTCACTTCATGCATTGATGGGAACTTATGGCTTTGATTTTCCTTCTTTTGTTCCTGACTTAGAACCTCCAAAAGCTTACGATTCACTTTTACAGAATATTGCTCATTGTTCCCCTAGGACGTCTCGGCTGCTTCTTACCCCTTGGACTCGACGCGCCCTTACTTACGAATCAAATCCCCTTCAAACACGAACAAAATACAAAACTGTTGATAAGAAAGTCCGACCAGTCCCCACTTATATGCCAGATCCAGCTGGGCAAGTGTTTCTTCCTGTGATAATACCCTCACTACCCCCACTCCCATTAGGTCCTCCTTCCCGTTTGGATTTCGTGCCTACACGCCGCCTTACGCTTGAACACTTGGAGAAGATTCTTACAAGCGTACCTAAAGGGTTTCTACAGCCTCGGGAAATTGACTTGCTGGTCTTTGTTTTGCAGACGCGACAGCAGGCTTTAGCCTTTGACGACTCTGAGCGAGGTACGTTCTCTGACAAGTATTTTCCTGACTATGACATTCCAGTGATTGAACATGTCCCATGGGTTCAAGCCCCTATTCGCATACCGAAATCCATTGAAGACACCGTCCGTCAAATGCTTCTTGAGCAAAAGGCCGCAGGAAAGTATGAGTATTCTACGGCATCTTATCGCTCGAGAATCTTTGCTGTTGCCAAGCCCAAAGGAGGTATCCGTCTGGTGGCCGATGTTCAAGAGCTTAACAGAGTAACGGTGCGTGATGCCGGCTTACCTCCAAGAACTGATGATTTTGCAGAAAGTTTCGTTGGCCATGTCATCTACGGACTTGCAGATTTGTTTTCAGGATACGATGGGCGGAAGCTAGCGATTACCTCTCGACCACTTACGACTTTTAGTTGTTTGATAGGACCCCTTCGTTCTTGTGTTTTGCCTCAAGGCGCTACCAATTCGTTACCGGAGTTCCAACGTTGCACAACTCATATGCTACAAGAAGAGATTGCCAAGAACGGGAATGTATTTGTCGATGACGTGGGATTAAAAGGGCCTACATCAACCTACAACGATGAAGAGATCGCCCCTGGCATCAGACGCTATGTTTACGAGTATGCCACAACCCTTGACAGATTTCTGACGCGCTTTATTCAAGCAGGCATCACGGCTTTGGGAAAGAAGCTGGTACTCGCCACCCCTCGCTTACATATTGTCGGTACGATTGTTTCGAAAGAAGGTTGGCACCTCGAACACGGTTTGGTAACCAAGATTTTGAACTGGGGACCGTTAACGAGTGTCACCGATGTTCGGTTGTTTCTTGGAACGGCAGGCGTTGGTAGAAAATGGATACGTGGATTTTCTCTGATCGCAAAACCGCTGACGCTCCTCACTAAAATTGCAGTCCAAAGACAGTTCTTCTTTTCCAAAGAAGCAGAAGCCGCTCAAAATGAGCTCAAGCTCCTCGTCTCTACCACACCTGTCCTTATCAAGCTAGATTATGATGCGGCGAAGCTTCTTACGCATCTCGACCCATCACCTCAGCATTCCGATCATGGCCTCGTTATCGTCGCTGTCGATTCTTGTCAAAATGGTACTGGTTGGATTCTATACCAAATGGCAAAATTAGAACTTTATGGAGTATTTCGTGCGGTAAAGGACCTTCGACACCGAATCTGGGGGATCCACTTCCGAATCGACATCGACGCGAAGTTTTTAATCGAGATGGTGAAGCAACCGGACCTTCCAAATGCTCCCATGACGCGATGGATCTTGTATATTGCGCTCTTCGA